GCGCAGGCTCTGACATGGTTGCCTGGTCATCGAGCTTCGCTTCGCTTGGCATGGGCACAGCATGAGAATGGGCTGGCTGGGACTCTGCGAGTCGGCGACGTCGAAGCAGTCGGGGCAATGGGATCGGCCACAGACCCTATGGCTGGCCTAGGGAAGAGGGGACGAGGTGAGTAGGAGAAGGATGGGGACGAGGGAGCATCGATCGGGAGGAAGGGCGGGCGGAGGATAAATGGTGGTGGAGGGGAAAGGAGGGCCAAGGAGGGAATCGGGTGATGAGTGGGGAGGAGGAGGAGGAGGAGGAGGAGGAGGAGGAGGAGGAGGAGGCGGAGGCGGAGGCGGAGGCGGAGGAGGCGGAGGACCAGTGTAAACCCAAGAGTCATCAATGATGTTGCAATAAACCCTCCCTCCAAGCTCCCTCTTCATTGGCCCCTACACGGGTTTATTTCCACTGAGGGAACCTTCTCGTTGGAAGGCAACCGTTTGAAGACCCTGAAGCGTGCCACAACATTGGTCTCGGGTTTCGGATTCCAACGCAACGGATCAACTTGACTGTTGCGTCTTGACGATCCTGAATCGTGGCAGAAACCCATTCCTGGGACTTCAATACCGCGAATCCGTGTAACTGTTGTACCCCTCCTAATCCGGAATTCTTCTAAAACACCACTTGTGGTACGCTGACCATGGGAATCCGTGAACCGTTTACAAATATTCGAAACGAATGCGCGCGGCGCTGAGGCGAGAGCCAGATACTGAAAAGGAGCCGCTTTCAATCCGTGAAGCTCTTGCAATTTGTTTAAACAGAATTTGCGCGGCGCTAAGGCGAGAGCCACTTTTTGATTAGGAAGCGCCCTCAATCCGTGAAACTTTTGCAAATGTTTCAAACGAATGTGCGCGGCGCTAAGGCGAGAGCCACATATTGACAAGGAACCGCCCTCAATCCGTGAAGCTCTTGCATCGTTTCACAAGTGTGCGCGGCGCTCAGGCGAGAGCCACATGTTGAAACCGCCCTCAAACTGTGAAACTCTTCCACATGTTTAACTCAAATGTGCGCGGCGCTAGGGTGAAAGCAACAGTTTGAAAAAGAACCGCCCTCAGTCCGCGAAACTCTTGCAATTTTTAACAACAAATGTGCGCTGCGCTCAGGCGAGAGCCACATGTTGAAAACCACACGCTCTCCATCTGTGAAACCTTTGCTAACTTTTACGCTTCAGGGTCATCAGTGGTGAGGAAGTCTCAGGCGCAACGCCCTGTCCGCCCTAAATGCTGGCTTGGGGGTGCGGCCGGGAGAAGTTGTTTATGAGGAAAAGGAATGGAGGAGGAGGAGGAGGAGGAGGAGGAGGAGGAGGAGGAGGAGGAGGAGGAGGAGGAGGGGGAGGACGAGGAGGAGGAGGAGGAGGAGGAGGAGGAGGAGGAGGAGGAGGGAGAGGGAGGATCTTTACCCTCAGCGATTGGAGCCAGATTCTCGGGGCGCGGACCCCAGAGCGCGCACCTGGAGATGCTGTCGTCCCATGTTCCGGGAGTGCGGAGCTCGATCGAGACTCAGCCGGACAAAGCCAAGGGGATCGGCACCCTGACTTTGCACTGAAAAGTACGGTGGGGGCGTTCGATGAGGAATCTGCCCGGGAGCTTCAGACCCTGGAGGGTTCTTTATCACATTCGGGCGGCAGTGATATCCATGGCCCGTCCGCGATTTGAGTTCCACACAGGCTTCCAGGCCATGGGTTCCTTCTGTGATGGCACGTTGAATTCATTCAATCGCTTCGCTCATTCCGCCGGCCCTGGAACCCTCTTTAGGGCATCTTGGGGGCCTCTTGGGGACCTCTTTGGAGTCTCTTGGGGCTCCTTGGCGGCGTCTTGGGGGCCCCTGCAGCCTCTCGGGGGGCTCTTGGGGACCTCTTGGGTCAGGAGGGGGGGTAGTCGATTGCGCCCCTCCCCTCGGAGGCCACGATCCTCGTGAGGGGTGTCGAAAATACCCGGTCTGGCATCTCTGATCCGAGTGTCCCGGGGGTGTCAAGGGGTTGTCCCGGGGTACTTTTCGGCCCCGCGCGCGAACTAGAATATTGTTAACCAGTTATTGGAGGTCTTAGCACGCCCTTGGCCCGTTGGGCTGGCGAATTTAATTGCTTCGCTCATTCCGCCGGCCAACAGTGTAGCATCGCGGGCACTTGCTTGCGTGCTCGGGGGGACATTTGGGGGACGTCCAGGGATTCCTTGGGGTCATCTTGGGGGCCTCCTGAGGGCTCTTGGGGGTCTTGGGCCTTCCTGAAAGCTTTTTTCAGGGCTGAGCGCTCGAAATGTTGTTTCGTGGTCCTCCTCTGGGGCCGTTCTCGGGGCGTTCTTGGGGCCCTCTTGGGCTGTCTAGGCCTCTTGGGCCGGCTTGGAGCTCTTTTGGGCTGTCTTGGAGGCCATTGTGGGCCTCTGGGGCCCTCTCGGGGCGGTCATGGGGGCCTCTTGGGCTGTTTTGGAGGCCGCTTGGGACCACTGAGGGTCAGCTTGGGCGTCTTGGAGCGATCTTGTTGCATCTCTGAGCCTCTTGTACTATCCTCAGGGCCTCCTGGGTGCCTCTTGGCGCTTCTTGGAGCCTCTCAGGGGCCTCTTGGAGCCTCCTGGGGGCTTCTTAGGGCCGAGGGCTCAAAATGTTGTTTCGTGTTCTGGCGCCTCGTCGGGGCCTCTTGGAAGCCTCCTGGGGGCTCCTGAGGGCTTCTTGGGAGCTTCTTGGGGCCTCTTAGGGGCCTCCTGGGGGCTTCTGAGGGGGGCAGAGGGCTCGAAATGCTGTTTCGTGTTCCCGCTCTAGGGCCCTCTTGGGGTGCTCTTGGAGCTTTCTTGGGCCGTCTTGTGGCTCTCTTGGGGGCCCTTGGGCTCTCTTGGGACGATCTTGGGGGCCTGCCTCTTGGGCCATCTTGGTGCGTCGGGAAGCCGAAAAGGTGGGAACTCGAAAATCCCACCAAAACCCAAGGGAAACAATGAATTTGGCCTCTTGGAGCCCTCGTGGGAGTGCTCGTGGAGACCCCTTGGCACTTCTGCGGGCTACCTTGAGCGTCCTGGAGCGATCTTGTGGCATGGCGGAGCCCTCTTGAAGCATCTTGGAGGGCTCTTGGATGCCCCTCGGCACTTCCTCGGAGCTCTCTGGAGACCTCGAGGGCGGCGCCCAGGAGGAAAACCATCTCTGACCCCAGTCTGCCAGGAGTCTCCGCCTCCTCCTCCTCCTCCTCCTCCTCCTCCTCCTCCTCCTTCGCCTCCTCCTCCGCCTCCTCCTCCTCCTCCTTCTCCTCCCCCTCGGGGTATTTTTCGTCCGGGGACCTCCAGGGGCTGCCCCGCGCGCGCGCGAAGTAGAAGTATATCTGTATATATATATATATATATATTGTAGAGGGGTCACCGGAGATCTTAGCACGCCTCTGGCCCGTTGGGCCAGCGAACTGCTGAAAGGAAGCCCGCGCTTGCGCGGACTTAAAGGAAAATAGCAGCTGCCTTCACCGTACCACAGGGGGACCATCACCCCGCACGCCTTTGAGCAGCACCCATGGACGGTCCCTCTCACGCGCCAGGCCCTGCCGCCAGCCAGCAAGTTGGGCGCGTCCCAGGGCGTCGAGAGAAAAAGCAGGAGGATGAGGAGGAGGAGGAGGAGAAGGAGGAAAGAAGGAGGGAGGGAGAGAAGGAGGAGGAGAAGGAGGAGGAGGAGGAAGATCATGAGGCGGAAGGAGGGAGATGGAGGGAGAGAAAGAGGAGGAGGAGAAGGCGAAGGAGAAGGAGGGGGAGCGAGGGAAAGAAGGAGGAAAGAAGGAGGAGTCGAAGGAAGGAGAAAGCGTGTGGCTTTCGGAGGATTCAATGGTACCGGGGGCGCCCCGGCGTTCAGGGGGTTCCTAGGGCGTTCGTGGAGCCAGCGTCCGCACCATCCGCTAGCTTCGTGTAGTATTCAGGCGAGTGGCTCGCGTTTTTCCACATCAGTGTTTGAGCCCAGGACTCGGGAGGACATAAGACATGTTGAGCCTGAAGTGTGGGTTCCTTCTCCCCTGTCTCCGGTGCCTTCCTCCTCCCCCTCGTCCTCCCTTCTCCGTCTCTTCCACCTGTTTCTTTTCCTCATCCGCCACCTCCTGAATACTCCCCCCGCGCCCCTTCTTATACTCCTCCTCCTCCTCCTCCGCCTCCTCCTCCTCCTCCTCCTCCTCCTCCTCCGGACCTGTCTTCTCGGTGACAGGCCAAGTCCTTATTCCGTACTCCTGCTCCTCCCGCCGTCCCTCCTTCTTTCCTCCTCCGCCTGGCACTGCACTCTCCTCCACCCCTGGTCTTTCCTTCGTCCCAGCCCCTGGTCCCCTGCTCTTCCCCTCACTCCTCTTCCTCCCCCCGGTCATCCTTCCTCCTCCGCTCTCCTCATCCTCCCTCTGCATCTTCTCCTCTCCACATCATCCTCGTCTTCTTCTCCTCCTCCTCCTCCTCCTCCTCCTCCTCCTCCTCCTCTTTCTCCTCCTCCGCCTCCTCCTCCTCCTCTCCTGCTTCCTCTTCTACCTTCTTTTGTTCCTCGTCAATCTCCCCCTTTCCCGCCCATTCCTTGTCACCTTCCCTCTCCCCCTCCTCTCCCCTCCGGCTTGTTCGCCTCGATGGTGTGGCGGAAGCTAGCCGTCCGCGGGCTGCTCAGACATGAGACGACGGAAGGGAGGAAGAGCCAGCGGCGGTCTGGAGGCGTCGCGCGTCCTCGCGGGGATCTTAGCTGCCCCGATACGCCCGTGTGGAAACGCAACGTGTGCCGTGCTCAAAACGTCCGTGTCAACACGCTGCGGCTTGGCTCAACGTGCTGGCCCACGCTTTCGCGAACGTGCCGCGCCGACCGTACGTTTTCAATCTCCGTGCTGAGCTCCGTGTCAACACACTAATTACGTGTTGCGTGTTGCGTATCGGGGCAGCTCGGGCGGGGATGTCTCTGCCTTGTCGCTGCGGTGCGCGTCAGATCTTCAGTTCAAGGGCCTGGGCCCCCTGGCGCGGTCGGCAGCCGCAGTGTGCCCATGTCGTCGGCGCGCGAGGCGCCTTTCGGCCGCCTCGGCGGCAGGGCGTTTGCCAAGCTCGTCTGCACCGACAGCTGGCGCCATGGGCTCCTTCATCGGGTCATCGCGGCGGTGATCATCGCATGGGTCGTGCGCTCAGTCGGGCTTGCATGCGGCATGCCTCCGCCGTAGGCCTGAGATCACCCATCGTGCGGGGGGAGCGGCGGATCGATCGGTGGATGCTGGACTCTTCGTTCGATGCGGCACGCAGCGTTGTCGGCCAACGGTGGGCCGACGCGCGTGGCTCTTGCCCCGCTCGTGGACTGCCCGCGACGAGAGAGGGGATGAGGGCCGCGCTGGCGCTTGCACGATGGTGCTCGTGGCGCACAGGATCGGTAGACATCTGTTTCATCTCCGTTTCGCCTTTGCGTGCTCAACCTCCACCTCCTCCCTGAGGCCTCGGAGGTCTCCAGAGGCCCCCAGAGGCTTCCGACGGCTTCCAGACACCCCCACGAAACGCCCAAAGCGTCCAAGGTTCGGGGGTTGCTACAGGTATCCCTGGCCCAAGACGCCCCCCGCTTTTCGCGTCATTTTGGGGGCTCTGTGGCCCTCTGGGCCTCGTGAGGGGTGCTCTGGAGGCCGCCGGGGCCTCCTTGGAGATCCTTGCGGCACCCTGAGCCAGGGGCACCTCTAGCAGCACCCGAAAGGTCTCGAACCTCGAACCTCGACCTCGTTCTGTTCCCGCACCACCTGGGGCAGAGGGCTAGGACGAGGACAGATCCGTTCCAGAGCGTCCCGGAACGCTCTCGGAGCCTCCCGGAAGGCTCTGAGAAGGCCGCGGCGCCCCGGACATCCTCCAGACCCGCGGGATCTCAGAGATTCTCGACTTATCCCCGCCCACCTGTGTGTAGCTCAAGCATTGTGTTTTCCCCTTGCGGGGGTTCGCGTCCAGGAGTTCCAGATTACGTCGCTCTGGTGTTCGTGCCGATTCTGCCATTGCTGCGCCGCCTCAGTAGAATGTGAGCATGGGGGTCTCATGTGCGTCCCTGGGTTTCCTCCTTCATCCTCTCTGGCGTCTGGGATATATATATATATATATACACACATATGTATAATGGTACCCCCCCGCAGGGGTCTACCTCATTCTGCCTCTTCTTATGGAGCGTTTTCGGCCTTCAAAGGCTTCGAAAAGGAACCGCTCTCATTCCGACTCCATTTCGCTTCTCCGTTCTCTCTCTCTCTCTCTCTCTCTTTCTGTCTCGTCTCTCTCTCTCTCTCTTCCTCCTCCTCCTCCTCCGCCTCCTCCTCCTGCTCCTCCTCATCCTCCTCCTCCTCCCAATCAGAATCCCCTTACAGAGCAGAATCAAGCAAAGCCATGCCAGGCGTTCCAAACGAGGCTCCCGCCTGAGAGGTCCCCCAAACACACACCCAAATGGAAGCTCCTGCCTGAGACGCCCCCCAAAAAACACTCCAAACGAGGCTTCCGCCTGAAAGGTCCCAACAAAAACCCAAAGACATCCAAGAGCCACCCCTCTCATCCTTGTAACTGTTCCCAAAAAAAAAAGTTTCAGAGGAGAGCTCCTCCTCCCCTCCGAGGGGGGCGGGAAAGAAGAGGAGAAATCGGGGGGAGAGGAGTTTTCCTTTGAAACTGTTTGGTTGTTTTTTGCCATTTACAAGGATGAGAGGGGTGGCTATTGGATTCCTTTGGGTTGTTTTTTGGACCTCTCAGGCGGGAGCCTCGTTTTGACTTTATCCCAACCCTCCTTGGTTGGGTTTTTCGTTTTGAATAGAGGGGTGTGGTCGCGTCCCTCCTCCTCCCGCCTCCCGCCTCCTCCTGCCCTCTCTTCGCCGACGATGGGGGCTGCGATCTGCGAAACTGTCGCCGCTTTCGAGGGCTGCTGGTTGGTCCTGCGGAGTGAGGCACCGCGCGGATCTGAGCGAGACCTCGCCGTCCCTGGGGGGCTGCGATCTGCGAAACTGTCGCCACTTTCGAGGGCTGCTGGTGGGTCCTGCGGCGTGAGGCACCGCGCGGTTCTGAGCAAGACCTCGCCGTCCCTGGGGCGCTGCGATCTGCGAAACCGTCGCCACTTTCGAGAGGGCTGCTGGTGGGTCCTGCGGAGTGAGGCACCGCGCGGATCTGAGCGAGAACTCGCCTCGCCGTCCCTCGGGGGCTGCGATCTGCGAAACCGTCGCCATTTTCGAGGGCTGCTGGTGGGTCCTACGGCGTGAGGCACCGCGCGGATCTGAGCGGGACCTCGCCGTCCCTGGAGGGCTGCGATCTGCGGAATTGTCGCCACGTTCGAGGGCTGCTGGTGGGTCCTGCGGCGTGAGGCACCGCGCGGATCTGAGCGAGACCTCGCCGTCCCTGGAGGGCTGCGATCTGCGAAACCGTCGCCACTTTCGAGGGCTGCCGGTGGGTCCTGCGGAGTGAGGCACCGCGCGGATCTGAGCGAGACCTCGCCGTCCCTGGGGGGCTGCGATCTGCGAAACTGTTGCCATTTTTGAGGGCTGCTGGTGGGTCCTGCGGAGTGAGGCACCACGCGGATCTGAGCGAGACCTCGCCGTCCCTGGGGGTCTGCGATCTGCGAAACTGTCGCCACTTTCCAGGGCTGCTGGTGGGTCTTGCGGCGTGAGGCACCGCGCGGATCTGAGCGAGACCTCGCCGTCCCTGGGGGGCTGCGATCTGCGAAACCGTCGCCACTTTCGAGGGCTGCTGGTGGGTCCTGCGGAGTGAGGCACCGCGCGGATCTGAGCGAGACCTCGCCGTCCCTGGGGCGCGGCGATCTGCGAAACCGTCGCCACTTTCGAGAGGGCTGCTGGTGGGTCCTGCGGAGTGAGGCACCACGCGGATCTGAGCGAGACCTCGCCGTCCCTGGGGGGCTGCGATCTGCGAAACTGTCGCCGCTTTCGAGGGCTGCTGGTGGGTCCAGCGGAGTGAGGCACCGCGCGGATCTGAGCGAGACCTCGCCGTCCCTGGAGGGCTGCGATCTGCCAAACCGTCGCCACTTTCGACTCTTTGTGGTGACCCCCTTGGGCATCTGGTTCTTCCAGACCGACGTCCCAGGGATTCCCTGAGATCCGACGTCTCGAGCAAAAACTGAAACTTCGTGAACAATCACGACTGGAGATCCCCATCGTGCTGTGCCATTTTTCGAGCTGGATCCATCTTTGAGGGCCCCACGGCCTAAATTGGGCGACAACGCCGCGCTCCGTTCCGGTCGGCTTCCGCTCAGGCCTTACCAGGTTGCGCGCATCGACCTCCAAGCGGGCTACACGCAAGAGTTTTCAGTGGGCCTTCTTGGGCGCGGCGTTCGGCTGTGTTCGGGCGGGTCGCTCCCATGCGCGCCCAGCCGCTGCTGCCGCATCGCCAGCAAGGATCGACAAGCCGTAAACCGACCAAAGGTTCTTGATGCACAGAGTCGCTCCTTTCAAGCAGTGGCGAAGCGTCCTGGTTCGTCTATAGGCCCACCAAAGAATGTTCTAAGACCTTTCTGTGGTCTGCGCGAAATGAATGTTCTTAGAACATTTCTGGGTGGGACTGTCTTGTTTCATCACATCGGGCTTACATCATAAGAACACTGTTTCTTGTAATTCGAACATTCTTGGGTTCGAAGAACATGTCGTGGTAGGCCTACAGGAATGCTGGGACGGTCGGTTCCTGCTCAATCCTTGCGTGCAGCCGACCTACGGCGCACACGCAGCGCCTGGGGGCGGGCCTGCGACTGCCGCGCGCCCTGCCGCGCGCCGGTGCGATGCAGCCATGTGGCGGTAGTTGGCCCCAGGCCTCCAGAATCTGTTGCCGGGCGAAGGCCCAGCTGGGGAGGTGGGAAGAGGCGGGTGGAGGGAGGAGAGGAAGGGAGGAGAAGAAGGCGAGGGGCAGGTGGATGATGAGGATGCGGAGGCGGGGGACGAGGAGGGGGCGGGACCTGGAGCAGGACAAGGGAGGATGGAGGATGGAAGATGGAGGATGGAGGGAGAGGAGAGGAGGAGGAAGAGGAGGAGGAGGAGGAGGAGGAGGAGGAGGAGGAGGGAAGGAGGAGGAGGAGGAAGGAGGGAGGAGGAGCAGGTGGGGGAGGAGGGAGAGGAGGAGGATGAGGAGGAGCAGGAGGATTCGGCGGCGGAGGAGGAGGAGGAGGAGGAGAGTGAGGAGGAGAGAGGGCGAGGACGAAGAGGAGCGATCAAGAGGAGGGAACATATATATATATATATATATATATATATATATATGTATATGTATATAAATGTATATACATATATACAGATACATATATATATATACATAGATAGATAGATTGGTTTCGAGTCTTGGTCTAAACCAAACAGCGCGAGAAGCGCGATGGGGAGAAGGAGGATCATGCGGGAACAGGAGGCGAAGGAAAAAGGGGGGAGATGAAAGAGGACCGAGGAATATGGAGGAGGAGGAAGGCGCACCTCCACGAGGGGCCCCCAGTCCGCAGGGACCCTCCCTGTCGCGGCGACGGCCCCCGCGACACGCTGTGCCTTGCAAGCGGTCGCCCCGCTCCGCGGGGCGGGAGGCTGCGGTCAGCTCGAGACGCTGACGCTTGGGAATGGGGACGTCGGGGGAGAAAAAGATACGGATACGTGTTGTCCCACTTCGTTTTCGGCCTTTCCTGGTCCTCCTGGGGAATCCTCGTTGTCACCGCTGGATTCGCCTCGAAATTCTGGTCAGAACGCACCCCAAGAGAGGTCCGGGGACAACACGTATCCGTATCTTTCCGCCCCCCAAGGGACGAAGATGGCGTGTCGCGCCACAGCGTGGTGGGCCACAGCCAGCACGACCCGCTGAGCCGACGTTCCCGACCGTAGAGCTCCTATGGCAGGGCTTCCACGGCCGGGCCCTTCGGTGGCAGCGAGTCGCTCCGCCGGCTCTGGCCCACCACGCTTCGGCGCGACCCGCTGGCCGCGTCCTGGTCCCCGAGCGCCAACTTCTCGAGCCTCGCCGAGCCTCCAGCCCGTTGAACGGAGCGACGCGCTATCCGATTGCAGGCCGGGTCGTGTCGCAGGCCAGATCGTGTCGCCTGGGCCGCCGCCGCAACGCGCCAAGCAACAGTTCCCCACCGTAGGGAATACATATGTATCTATGCGCATGCACAAATACATACATACCTACATATAAACAGACGAAC